AATTATTTTGCTAGTGTGAAGGAAAGCATTGTTTAATTAGAAACACATGAATAAAAATGCTTAATGTCTACAGTGCAACTTAAATCAGAAATTGCAATCGCAGCTGAAACAATTTCTTTAGGTGTTGCTCTCTAATTTTTTTTATTTAGATCATTCCATGAAATGGTAGATAGTAGAGACGTTTTTCAGATGATACTGGCATGATGATTTAACAGAAAGCAAATATTCTAGTTTACAGTAATGTGTAGGGGGACAGCTGTACTCCCTGGCTGCTGTACCACTTGCGTAGAAATATCTCGCTCATATTTGGTTGTTGTTCTGAAATTCAGTGACTGTTTTTATGCCAGCAGTGCTTGCTTTTCTCTTTAGTATAAACTCTTTACTAAAGTAAAACTTGGCTGAAACTCTTGTTCCAAGATTTCTCTCCCTTTCAATGCTGGAAACTGAGTTTCCAGTCACAGTTTTTTTAAAATTGCATAGTTTAGTCCTTCTGCTGTAAAAGTTGACACTTGAGTTGCAGTATTTGCACAGAAATAACAAAAATAGGGCAGAAAGAGCTGAGATCCACAGACTGTTCTGTGTTATCTGCAGTTTTGTAGAATAGAAGACATGCAGGCAACACACAAGCATAAAGCTAGGATAAGAAGAAAATCCTTCTTTCTTGTCCTAAAAATAAAATACTAGTTTGGAACAGTGCCTTTTCACTGATTTGTGGTGTTGGACTCTGTTAGGTGTGTCAAAGCAGCAATACCTTAGCTTAGTAATGGGAAGAACTGAGTCAGGTATTTGACATCATACTTTCCAGAAGTTGTTCAGTGTGGGAATTTTCTTTTACCATATTTTGCGCTGGTGTGAAGAATGCTCTTTACTAAAGATATGAAATTTAAAGGGGAGGTGAGCCCATTATTTATTACTTCAAGCTCTTACCAAGAATAAGCTCACTGTGAGTGACTTTAATATTGCTCTAGCAGTCCATTCTAGCAAAAAGTAGTAAAGAGCATCTGGATATGTTGTGGTAGAAAAATATGCTACTGATTTTCAAGTAAATTTTCACTATTGGCTTTGCTTCAGATACTGATGTACATAATAAGGTGAACTAAGGTAGTGTTGCGAGTAACCACTTCTGTAGCTTACAGAAAGTTACAATGGGAAAATGAAAGATCTTTTAAATTATTTCTGTGGAGATGACCTTAAGTATTTCTAGGACTTTTAAGGTAAGATTTCAGTCTAGTAGTGATCACAAATTTTTATGTGGTCCTCACTGAAGGTAGTGAGAAAAACTTTTGAAGAACGAACTCTTGTGTGCTCTAAATATTGTATAATTCTGATAGGCTGAGCATGCTTTTACATAAGGATAACTGGTAACTAGTCTTTAAGTTAACTGCAGAACTGTATATTTAAACATAAACTTTTTATTAAGAATCAGTTTAACTACCGCTAAATCATGTTGGCAAATGTACTTTTTTGAGGGCTGTGAGAGCACTTGCCAAGTTTTTTGCTGTGGGACCACATCCCTTCATTACAAGCAATTACAGGAGCTGTTGTCTTCTAGTTGATTACTGACAGAACAAATGCTAGTCAAGGAGTGAATGTAAATGTTGAATTTTCTCTATTTGGAGAGAGGAAGTCGGAAGCTCTGCTTGTTTGCTTGATGTTTTGTGTTGCTTATAGGTTGTATGTCTGAAATTTTTATTAGGAATTGAGTACCCTTTGCTGAAAATTTCTGAAGTATGTCAAAGCAGCATCATATCATGATAGTGACACTGCTACTACCACCATTATGGACACCATGTGGTAATGTTACTTGGACCTTTAGTGTTTTCAGTTCCATCATAATATCTGATTGTTTACTACTTGAGGAAGAAAAGGCAGCTGGTATAGAAAAAATATCTGACACTTTAATCTTTCTTGATTAATCTCTTAAAGGTAATGAGGAGGCTTTCTAGGGCAGGGTAATCTGTGTAATACTGTTTTAGCTTTGTTTACAGGAAAAAGACTGTAAAGAGAATTTATAAACTGTAGCACTGCAGATGTCAAAGATGCAAAACCATGTGAGTGAGAGTAACTTGTGTTAAAACATAATTATCCTGGAACCTGCTTGGCTAAACCTATTTGGTTAGATATTGATTCAGTAATGATGGAGCAAAGACATGCTTCTTAGGTGGGTTTTTGTAGGTGTGATAAATGTACTGTGACCTGGGGGGGAAGTATGTAATTGGATTTTTGAGTTCTTTGAAGTTGTAATTGTGGCTTCATCTAGGAACACATAATACTGAGGACATGTTGACAAATATTCCACTTTCCACCTGCAAGGGTGGGGAAGTGACAGGTGGTACAAACAGGACCCTTTGTGAGGATTTTTTTTTATGAGGAATATTAAATTTTGTGGGTATGTTGGTGGCAGTTGTTAACTTGAGGGAAATTGGAATTTATCGTGTGCCTAGCAGCTTTCACTGTATAAATAAACAAGATCAATTAAAGGCATTACTGTCCAAATGCAGTCCTTGCAGCTTGGTTTTCTGTTCGTACTAGTCCATGGTATTCATCATACATGCTACTCTTTATAATAATGTTTTGTAAAACAAGAGAGACTGCAGTTATGAGATACTGTAATTTGGCTCTGTTCTCTTACAGAGGTCTTTGAATGGCAATTGGAGAGTAGATAGTCTGAAAGTATTTTGTGTCTACAGATTACTCTCAAACTAGGAAACATAATTTTCCTTTAACACAGATGAAGAAGAGTAGTTCAACTCGGTCAGCCTTTGTTTGGCAGAAGAGTTAAGAACAAAAACCCAAACCAAACCCCTGTAAATGCTGTTAAAAATTTAGAGATGGAAAGCTTTTTCAGAACCTGCTGCAAGTACCTGCAGATTGCAGGATGGTTGCAGACTAGCGCAGGTTGTGCCTGCAGTTCTTTCTAAACAAGGTATCTTCCTGTACCTGAAGCTAGGCTTGTTTTTTTTTTTTTTGTCTTTTTTTTTTAAAGTTTGATTTATTTGAAGTAAATAAAATTTGCTGTTTGGGATCAGAAATACTCTGTAGTAATATATAAATATGCGATAATGTATGTGTAAACATTCAGATGCATATACTTTGCAAAATAATGTTTGCATTGTAATGTACTTTTCTGTTCTCATAGTTGTCAGGCTCTATTGGAGTAGCAAAGATCGGATATGTTGGGATCTGTGAGAAGTAGTGAGTATTGTTAACAGTTGCTATATAGACTGTCAGATCGTATCCAGGAACTTTCCCTAATTCTTCTAAATTCAATTTAATTGGAATAATTGTCATTATATATTTTCTGGAGAAGAGTTTAAATCTTGCAAGTACAAATACACCTAATGCTGCACAGATTGTTTGCAGTGACATTGGATGCTATCACTCTTCTCGCTATATTTTTCCAGTGTGTAATGGTAAAAGTGATCCTGCAAAATGGTAGTATTTCAATGCACACAAATGTGCAGAAGAACTTGAGCGTGAAACAGATCTGATTAATGTTTTGTGATGTAGGTGACTTGCAGTGTGTAGTGAAGCTGATTGATATTTTTGAAGTTGGAGGCTTTTTGAAACTACACCTGCTAGTGAGAAAGAAAATGTGTAAGTAGTGTTATCTTTTCTACAGTGACTTATTATGTAATGTGTTCTCAGTCTTAATTTTCTTACCTCAGGGTTACTTGAATTTCTTAGTTGTTTGTCTCCTGGTGTACGTAATGGCCTCAATTCTACCTGTAGAACATAAGAATTTGAGGTATATTTGAAGCTAAAGTGAGTAATTGAGAAGGCTTGTGATTTCCCTGCTGTGAAAGAAGCATTCTGACAAACTTCAGCACCTTAGGGATAGTTTCTGCCTACTGAGTCTTGTGGTTTCTTGAGCGTATTTACACAGTGAATGCTGTAATTATTTTTTCCAAGAGAGAGCTCATCCACCTGAATTCAAGCCCTCTCAGCAGACAGATAGGTGTTGAATGTAAAAAGCTTTGTTTGGTGTTATGCTGGATGTTATTAAAAGGCAAACGGAAGGTCAGGCTGGGGAAGGGAATGTGGTGGGTGGGTGAAAGTTGGAAACTATACTTGGTTCTTTGCCAGGGAAGGAGTTCCAGAATATCTGGGAGGGGCGGGGCAGAGTGTGGGATAATAAATTAAAGTTAGGCAAAATGGAGCACTTCACAGTTGCAGTGAGTTTAGCAAGTGTAACTGACCTAGTTCCCTTGTAAACCTTGCCTATCTACTTGGCTACCTACAAAATTAAGCTCTTAAAATGCTACAAAAATTTGAACTTTGTAAGATGAGCATAATAGTTTATATCCTAATGCACTGTCAGCTGCTTAGAACTGTGTTTTGAAAATCTCTTCTTTAAAACAAACCAAAATCCAACATTCCTTTCAAGAAGCTGTTTCAGCATTTCCTCCTAACAGTGTCTTCCAAAATAAGTCTTCTGTGAAAGGTTCCCTTCCTCCAAAGTAGCCTTTTCCTTCTGCTTATGGAGCTTTATTTTAAGAATATGTATAAGGAACTTGGGCTGACTGTAGGTGATCTGAATGTTTCTTTTTGGTTTGAGGTTTTTAACAAATATTACCAAGACAAATAATCTGTGTGATGTGGTATAAGCTGTTTTTAATAATTCGGGTTTACCAGAGTAAACCTGCTATCAGAGTAGAAGAGAATAAGGGGTTCTCAGATGTACGGACTCGGCATTGGTTTACCTTGTAAATCAAGTAAGTTGAGGTCATGTGGCAGAGTAGTTTTGGAGAGCTATTTGGACTGCACTTCAAAACCAAATACATTTAATTCAAGGCCTTACTTGTAGGCAAGCTTGTGAAGATTTAGGCAATACTGTATAAGTTGATTTCCTCACTGCAATCTTCCAAGTGCTTAACATTAAACAAAAGATTGGGCTGCGACAGTGTAGGCTACTTCTAAATTATATGAAGGGACACCTTCCAGTTCTGCTTCCAGTATCTGTTTTTTAATAGCTCTTCTATGTTTGTTGTTTTTTCCAGTCGAAGCCATATATATTTGACCGTGTATTCCAGTCAAACACATCACAGGAACAAGTGTACAATGATTGTGCTAAAAAGATTGTCAAAGGTAAGGTGGAACAGCAACTGTAACCATATGGAAAAGTCTCATATTCATGTGGATTTCCATGCTGCAAACTGATACTTCTATTGCTTGCTTTTACCTTCTGAGTGTTTAATAAAAGCTAACATGGATCATAGCAATGTAAAATCATCCTATAGTTGAGCTGATAAATTATGTCAGTGCTTAACCTGCGGTTTCAGTCAATTGCAATGTTTGATAACATTTACCTGTCATGTTTTAGTTTTTTTGTAGGTCTCTGCAAAAGATTGTTTAAAACAATCTGTCAGAAATTAGTCAAAATTACTCTCATGATTAGTTTTTGTTTTGTTTTTCAAATTTATTGGTGAAAACTGTTTTAGTTTGTTTGGAGGAATATAAGAGGAAAGGAAACTTGGGAAATGATGTGTTTGCTATAGGTCTTTTCTAAGCTTATTTGTTGAATGCACAGCTTAAGAGGGATTTTCTTTGAATGTGATTTTTAGCTTCACAATTAATAGTTTAAACCTGAGTTATGGCTGTACGTGTCAGACTGTGCAGTTTCTCCGAACCTGAATTGTCAGAATTGGCCTACTAACTTCAGAAAATGAAGTCTTGTGACAAAGAAGGTTATACCACAGTAAGTTGTTGTAGTAAGCAATTAGCTAGTTTCCTGAAAATGAAATTGATTTATTTTTCTTGAGGAGATCAGTAAGAAGTTCTAATTGACACAACTTTCAAATCAACTTTGACAAAGCCTTCCCCTGAAGTATCCGCTATTAGTGACAAGAAAAGATTGGGTAAATGTAGTATTTTTTGATCATTGGAAAAGTGAATTGCTGTGGAAAATCCACGCTGCTGCAAATATTCAATCCTTTAATGAGTTAAATAGTAATCAGGATTAGATCAGACGTTTGGACCTTATAAATGGGAGTTAACTAGGAACTGTAATACTGCTCCTTTCCTCCATCTAAAAATCTAATCTATGTTACTCTGTGCAGCATTTCTAGGCTGTGTTATGTGGCAAATGAGCTCTAGTGGTGGTACAAATGGATTATGGGTATGATGGGGAGGCAAAGACTCCATTTGGAGTATCTCATGCTTGATTTTGGAAAATAAGTTTGTTTGCAGGATGTGGGTCTACAGTAACTGACTTGTAAACAAACCAACCCACCAGCACTTCACCCCTCAATCTAAAACTTTGGGTTGGTTCGTTCATATTTTGAAATAGAAGCCAATGGCCAAAGAGTAAGATGCTTGAAACTTACAGCATAGCCCTTTCTCTTCACAACTGGACAATTAACTTTCCTGAAGGCAGAAAATATTATAGCATTTGCGTATGTGGTAGTTTCTTCCGAGTTTTCAAAGACTATCTGTTCAATCTGGCAGTTGTATTGATTACCTTTTTGTTCCTGACTCTGAGGTCCTGATTTTTCTGGTTGAACAGATGCTTCTAATACAGTAAACTTCTAAAATGTAGCTGATGATGACTCAGTGCATTAAAAGGGGTAGGGAGGAACAGCCTCCCTCCCCCCAGCTCTAGCACAGAGTTCCCAAACATGGAATGATTTAACTTGCCGAAAATTTTAGAGACTGCCTTCTTGTGTTCTTTTTCATTTGGCTTTCTTTAGAAGGAAATGAACCCTAATGAAAATACTCTTTAACTTGAGGGATACAATGGTACAATATTTGCTTATGGGCAGACATCATCTGGAAAGACACACACTATGGAAGTAAGATATCTTAAAATAATTTTCCTCTTAATGTCACTGTCATCTATTTTCACCACAGTAGTCTTATCTTTATAGAAATAAAATGACTGCTTGTTTTCTTCCTGCATTTTCTTCTTTCCATTGCAAAATTTTGATACCCAAAGTGGGTTTTCTTAGGGCTGATAATGACAATTACTGTATTTTTTCAGTCCTTGGTAGCAGGATGCGAAACACAAGACTAATATTAATAGTACATTTTCACTTCTAGTAGTTTGGGGAGATTCTGGCATTGTTCTTTTCACTGCTGGCAAATGCTAGACCTAAATTTCCTTTACAGATAAAAAAAGTGCATCAAACCTGTCAGCATTTTAAAACTGATTTTTCTGTTAACTGTTTTGTCTTCATATACTGTTTGTGATATTGGATTCAGTATGAATGTTTCATTTCATTGTATCTTTTTCTAATAAGGGGAAGCTTCATGACCCAGATGGAATGGGTATTATTCCAAGAATAGTGCAAGACATTTTTAATTATATTTACTCTATGGATGAGAATCTTGAGTTTCATATTAAGGTAAACTTTTCTTCATTGTTACTTATTTAATCTGTATTAAAACTGGAAGTAGTCTGTGGTTAAACAGATGTTCTGTATCTGTTTCAAATGCCTGTAACATGGAAAATCTAGATAGGAGTAATTCCTGAAGTAACTGACTCTTCTTAAAGAAGAATTATGTTAACACTTCAATCTTGTTTCCATTAAACATGGGTAGATATTCTGATAACCTACGGCAGTGCTGATAGCGCTTGAAGCTTTTGATCAAAATAGTTTCTTCTTAAAGGTGTATTTTAGTTCAGCCTTGAGGACTTGAGCTAGATGTGGTATTATATGGGAGGTCATAATAATCATGCTGGATCCTTCTGAGCAAAAAAAAACAAGCAAAAAAAAATATTTTTGCTTTCTGATGTTGTATCTTCATTCCCCTTCCCACTTCTAGGTGTCATATTTTGAAATATACTTGGATAAAATAAGGGACCTTTTGGATGGTAAGCCTTTTATTTATCTTGAACATAGAAAATAAATTGTTCTGGAGAGAGAGATTAAAAAAACCCAAAAACCTTTCATGATACTAAGATAGGTATGCAATATGTTAATAACCTAAATTGATAAGGAGACATCAACATAAGAAAGCATGGAACTAATTTGTATAATAATACTAAAGTTGCATTAGTGGTTGTTTCATGTAGATTAAGTTTTTTATAAAGTGTTGCTGAGAAATAACATCTATGACTCAGATGTACGTTCTACACAGCTCATTCATTTTGCAAAGAAATCATATATACCTTAGCTTTAGAACTTTTTCTCTTCCAGTTTCAAAGACCAATCTTTCTGTTCATGAGGACAAAAATAGAGTTCCCTATGTAAAGGTGAGCATCAACCTGATATGTTTTCATCTTGTACTCCCCTAGTGTACACCATTTACTTCTGGCTTGTTGGTGTGGTGGTTTTTTGCCTTTTTTTTTAAAGGGTTGCACAGAGCGTTTTGTATGTAGTCCAGAAGAAGTTATGGATACTATAGATGAAGGAAAATCAAACCGACATGTAGCAGTTACAAGTAAGTATTACCTTTTTGCTTCCTTTTAGTGCTTTATTGATTTGTTTCTGGTAGCCTTGAAAAGTAGGGAAGGTGAAAATAGTGAGCTAAATAATTCAGGTTTGTGAAAGGGTCTAAAATAATCACTTTCAGCATGTCTTTCAGAAGTTTGAGGGTAAGTTTCACAATCTTCCTGTGTCTAGTTCTTTAGTCAAGAAAAGAAAGAATATACAGTCATTAGGAAAATGAGATTTTTCTTCTCATATCTTTGGCTAAGGATCAAAAAATAAAGATACTATGTTCCTTTTAAGGAACGACTCAGTCCTATACTTCCAGTTCGTTGTTCCTAGGTAGTAAGGTTCTGAAGTGGGGACCAGGCTAAGTAACGGAGAAATAACAGAGCTTTGGACAGAAGGAAATTATTCTGTGTTGAGCTGCTTCTGTGGCATCAATAAGCTGGTCCCTTTAGACCTGTGAGGGATTTATGGTTAAAAGGAATAAATAGACAGATGCTCTCATTCAGGTTGCAGTCAGCTTAAATTTTGTTAATAAATTAAAATCATTCTTTAAATTCAGTAAGTCTTGTTTAGTCTGCATGTTTCACAGCAGGGGGGGCAGTAAGTATTTAAACCAGAAAGGGGTTAGAGGTTGTTGCCATCTAGTTCAAATTTTCACAAAAGGATAAAATGTGATACATTGTAAATGTACAAAAAAATAAAATGTTCTGGTATCAGAATGTAAGTGTCCTTTATGTTCTAATGGAGTAAACTGAAGGTGTGAAATCTATAGTTGACAAGCTAGAAAATCTTATCCGTGAGCTTATGTGGTATTAATAGAAGCCCAAGTGAGACTGTATCTTTGCTCAGTCAGACAATACTATTAGTTTTATTGTCATTGAGAGACTACTTTATACAGTTTAATTAGCTTTAGATCTGTTACTTCATTGTGGGGACATACTGTTTTGTTAAGTTACTTTGGTTGTACAAATATTTTTGACAAGTTATGTATTTTGGATTATAGATATGAATGAACACAGCTCCCGAAGTCATAGTATTTTTCTTATTAATGTAAAACAAGAGAATACTCAGACAGAACAGAAACTAAGTGGAAAACTTTACCTGGTGGACTTGGCAGGTAGTGAAAAGGTAATTCAAAGTTTCTTTTTCTACTCTGAAGACCTCCAGTTATTCTTTACAATCAAATATGTCACATTAATACTGAAGGTTCAGTTGTCATCTCTGAGGTGTTTTAATTTTGACTTTGAAATGTGGTTTCTGAATCCTGCTCCGGGTTGGCTAATAGGTACTACCTCTTTAAGCTGATATGCGTTTCTGCAATGAGGGTTTGTAAATATAGAATTGGGTGGGGAAATAGGCTAGAGTTCAGTCTTGGTATCTATGAGAGCAAAAGTGTACAGGTTTGTTGGATAGCCAGGTACTGGAGTAAAGAGTTTTATGAATGTGGAATTTCTGGATTTTCTTATGTAGTGGTACCAAGTTTCTTAACTTGAAATTCTGATTAACATGGTTTAAAATGACAGCTTGCTTGGTTGTGTCAGTGACTTAAAGCAGGGAAGAATATGTGTACCATTTTGCTTATTCTGTATAGACTTCTTATAGACTGTAATTAGCCTTTTAAGAGCTGGGTTTTTGATATTCTTTTCATCTTTGCTCTGGGTTTATCCTCAGCTTTGTCTCCAGCTTTTTTCAGTCCTTTCTGCTTGCTGTTGTCTTTCCTCATGTCATTGTTCTGTGGCCTTATTGCTGTCTCTGATCCTGTGTTTATTCTGAAATTTCTTAGTAATGGTTTTTTTTATTTCTTTTTTTAATGAGAATTAAACTGGAAGCATTCAAATGGGAACAAAGTTAAAGAAAAGGGCTGGGCTGCAGGTCTCCTTTCTCTGTAGTTTTGTTCCTTTCGCTGTTTATTTCAAAATTTGCTTTTGTGATTCTCAGTCTTTTTGAAATACATGAGGTTTTCTGATGCCTTGTCTTGGGTAGGTTTAAATGTAGGCAAATAGAATTGCTTAGTTGTAGTCATGATCACAGCTTGGTGAGAAGAACAGAAAAGGGAGGGTTGCAGAACCATAAGTCAAATTCTGCCCTTGAGGCAGAAGAACTACGGTAAATAGAGTTGGTGTCGGGGTAGGTTTTTTTCACTTTTCTGCTGATATCTACTTAAGTTCCTAGAGCGCTCATATAGGTCAGATTCAGCTTCTAAAATCTGTTCTAACAAATTATTGCTAATATAGACTCTCTGCTATATTTTTCAGGAGGAGTGTGGGTGAGGGTGGTGTTGTTTCTTTTTCTTTGTTGGTTTTTTAAGGATGATCTCCGGACAAGCTATTCATAATGCTTATTTCCTTTTACTTTAAGGAATTCAAACTTTTTGACAAACCTCAAGCAACTTTTAAAGTTGTTTATTTGAGAGAAGTTATTAACTGTACATGTGTCTTCTGTGAAAAAGTATACTTTGCAGGGAAAATACTCATTTCAGTTTAAAAAATCAGAAACATCTTCAGCCACTGAGTTTTAAATGAAAAATGGATGGTGAATCAAGCAAAGAGTCTGAGGAGGAGTTTGCTTGTTCTAACCCAGCTTGCTTATGAGTACTTCATAAAGTCAGGGAGATGGACTTAAAAGCATAAAAATTACTCAAGTTGTACATTACATGTGGAAGGTGTTTTTTGAAGATGTATTTAGTAATTTACTGAAATGTTGTATAGGTTAGTAAAACTGGAGCAGAAGGTGCTGTGCTAGATGAGGCCAAGAACATCAACAAGTCTTTATCTGCTCTTGGAAATGTCATCTCAGCTTTGGCTGAAAGCAGTGTAAGTGTCCTTTTGTATTTTTTATACTTCAAGGTTAAAGGCTTGCATTTCTGAACATGATATTATGCAGAAATTCTTTACTGATGTAAGTGATGTGCATGGAGTCTTTTAAACTAATTAATTGCATCAATGCATTGCAAATGGCCGTTATATTGTATTGACACTGATAATTAATAGTTATGTTTAGTATTGAGGGACCTAAGTGACATAGTGAAAGTTTTCTTGTACTCTAGAAGTTACCAAACATAGATGTACAGTTTTATATTTTCCCATGTGTGTTTGGTCTTATGAATTGAAGCGGAATTTAGTGTCTTTCCAGTGAACTTATACGTAGCAAAAGCATAGCTCTTGTTTCAACAAATTAAATAATGTGCCTGAAAAAACAAGATTGATTAATTTAACCATTTTCTTGGTAGACTTACGTTCCATATCGTGATAGCAAAATGACCAGAATCCTTCAAGATTCACTAGGGGGTAATTGCAGAACCACTATTGTTATTTGCTGTTCTCCGTCTTCATACAATGAATCTGAAACTAAATCTACTCTTCTGTTTGGCCAAAGGTGGGTAAATGACTTAATATTTTGCTCTTACTATGCTAAGAAATAAATGCAGAATGAGAAATAAGTAACTCACTCTGTTAAGATTCCTGAACCAAAGTAATTAGAATCTTTACTTTCTTTCTGTATAGCTTCAATGCACACATGAATGGCTAAGTGTAGTGATCTGTCTTCTCTCATATAAAAATCCTTAAACTGGGCAGGATCCTGAAGACTGTGTATTTCCAGGAGGACAGCATATAGTTTCGTTCAAAATATGGTTTAATATGTAGTCTTGGAGGGTAATTAATACTCTTTTTTCTTTTTTCCTAAAGTGGAAGGAGGGAGGAATGACTTCTCCTCTGTTGAATTGAATAATTTATTTGCCAGGAGAGCCTGTCCTCTGCCACCTTTTCTTTGATAGCATGCTGAATTACCTCTTCTGGTCTGTTTGCTGTATCTAGCATTCCAGTAACATTTGAGTTAATACTTCTAAATTCCTGTGTCATTTGTAATTGAATTTATAAGTACCCATTTCAAATGTGGTATTTTTTTAGATATCTTTTCTTTGCCACTCTATATTAATGCTTCATCGTCATACTCCAGTTTCTGACCACTAGATTTAATCACTTCATTTACTGGAGCATGTAACAAAAGCTGTCAGCATTTTACTTGGTTCATCTGGTCTTCTATTTTAGCGTACCTCTTCCACTTTAGTTCAACAAGATAGTTTTCTACTGCTCTTTTCAGATAAGTTTTTTTTATTATGGAAAGTAGACTAGATTACTTCAGAACTTCTTAAAAACCTGGCAGAATATGGGTAGTTAGTGACTGTGGAGTAATGACTGCATTCCACTCAGTGGAGGTCTCCTTTTAGAATCAAGGAGATCTCTTCCTTTCCTCTATTTCTTGAATGAGCTGTTGGGAAGAGTCTTCCAGCTGTAGCTCTGTAGTTTCACTGCCTCATGCTCTTGGCTTTTGCAGGAGTTAATAGAGTACGCTTCTATCGCAGCCACCGTAGCTAGTCTGGTATATTAATTCATGCTAAAACCCTCAGCTGTAGTCACTGAAGGCTAGGTAAATACCACAAACTTAGTAGGAAATCATGAGTCTTTTGGTAGTAATCAGTCCTAATAAGAGTTTGCAGAAAGATGCTTATAGGAGTCATAATGTCGAGGGGGGAGTTTGTTACTACCATTAAGCTTTTTTCCTGTTTTGATCTTTGAGGTATTTGGTAGTAGGACACTACACAGAAAAATTACAGAGGTGAGGTATGGCACTAATGTAAAAACTATATGTTAATTTCATGAAGATATACTATTAGTGCCTGTAGTTTCATTTCCAAAGCTAGTGTCTCTGGATGAGATTTGCCTAACCAAATGTAGACGATCACATCTGAACTTCATAGCTTGTACACCTTTTTGGTTAACGGAGACCTAGTAACTGGATTTTTAGGTTGAAATGACCTGTTTCTTAAATAAGCTAGACACTTTACACCCTAAAAGTATTATGCTCTCCATTGGAGAAATGTTTGATGGGTGTGGTGAATGCCACCCTTTGTTCAAAGCTGAGCACTACTATCCTGATTCGAATTCTTTCGGGTGGAAGTATGCAGCTGAATTTTTCCAACTCGGCCAGCTTGAGATTTTTCAGCCTTCCCGAAGTTTGTTGTATTGCTCTGTCTATTAACAGTTGTATCAATCTAATTGAAAGAGTAGTAAGTTGACAGGGAGTACAAATAAGCTTTTGGAACAGGTGGGAATGTTTACGCTTTCAACAGTGATATGTAGAAATTTTATTTATTAGCCTTTAATTCCTTTATTTAAAAACAAAGTTTCAGAGCTTTTTGCTCTTTCTACATAGAGCAAAGACCATTAAGAACACAGTCTGTGTCAATGTGGAGCTCACTGCAGAACAGTGGAAGAAAAAGTATGAGAAGGAAAAAGAGAAAAACAAGACTCTGCGTAACACCATACAGTGGCTAGAAAATGAACTCAACAGATGGCGGAATGGTGAGAAGCAATTATATTTTGATGACTTGAAATGTTAAGTGTAGTTCTTCCAGAATATTGACACAAGATACTGGGGTGTTGGAAAGAGCACGTACCATCCAAGGACTGCATAAAGTGTTTTGTAATAAGGCGCTAAGGAATTTAGTTTAGTTATGAGAGAAGTGCCTTGATTAGTGCATGTGGTATTTTTGATATGTGAATTTAGTAAAGTGTTCTCATCGAAAAGGGTTAACGAACATAAAAGGATAACAGTGTAACTGAACAAGTATTTTAAATTATAAGGAAAGCACTTTAAATGTGGCCACCTAGCAAGACTGCGAAGGGAAAAGAGGATTTTCTGTCTTCAGGGCAAGTTAGGTGCCTTTCTAGAAGATACGATTTGTGAGATTTGGAGCTCATAGCACAGTAACAGGGTGAAACATAATGTTCTGTGGTAAGCAGGACATAGTTTGGATGATCTAGTAGTCATTTTGTTTTGCCATGTAATCATGTGAACTTGATAGCTTATTAACTATGGAGCAATACTGTTAATAGGGAATATGTAATACTTCTCAAGGCTTACTTTGTGGAAGATACTTCATAGCTGACTGTGCTAAAAATTTAAGTATATCCTTTTCTTTAAGGGGAGACTGTACCAGTTGATGAGCAGTTTGACAAGGAGAAGGCCAACTTAGAAGCTTTTGCAGTGGACAAGGATATTACTGTTATTAATGATAAACCAGCTACCACAATTGGAGTAACTGGGAATTTCACGGATGCTGAGAGAAGAAAATGTGAGGAAGAAATTGCCAAACTATACAAACAACTGGATGACAAGGTATGCTATTCTTTTTTAATGTAAGACCTCTTGGAAATATGTCTTGAATTGTGTTTGTGTCCAAAGAAGAGCAATTAATCTGATGAAGGGTCTAGAAAACAAGTCTTATGAGGAGTGGCTGAGGGAACTGGGGTTGTTTAGCCTGCAGAAAAGAAGGCTGAAGGGGAGACCTTATCGCTCTCTACAGCTACCTGAAAGGAGGTTGTAGTGAGGTGGGTGTTGGTCTCTTCTCCCAAGTAACAAGTGATAGGACAAGAGGAAATAGTCTCGTTGCGCCAGGGGAGGCTTAGATTGGATATTAGGAAACATTTCTTCACTGAAAGGGTTGTCAAGCATTGGAACAGGCTGCCCAGGGAGGTGGTTGAGTGACCATCCCTGGAGGTATTTAAAAGACATGTAGATGTGGCATTTAGGGACATGGTTTAGTGGTGGACTTGGCAGTATTAGGCTTATAGTTGGACTCAGTGATCTTAACGGGTTTTTCCAACCTAAATGATTTTATGATTCTGTGTAATACTTAATTTGTCAGTCTTTATTTGTTAGTACAGTTTGCTAAATATTTGCTTGGAGTACCTACTCTAATTCTGAAGCTCTGATTAAGAGAAATCAAAATTGCCTTGTCTGTTGCTAAGTAGGCATCATTTCTTAGTTGCTCTCCCTCCTGTGCTGAAACTACTAAAAAAAAAAAAGTACTGAAAACTAAAATATCAGTACATAGAAAAAAAGATTAAAAATAAATTTAGGAGGAAAAAGTTAATGAGATACTTGAACTGTATTTCTGCTTTCTGGGTGTAGAACTTTCCTAGCTGATTGTTTGGAATAATACTGTACCAGAAGAAGGAAAATAATGAGAAAGCAGAAAAACGAGTAATTAGAAGGAAAAACTGCTGTCTTCTGTGTTATGCATATTTTATTAGAACATAATTTTAAATTTAAGCACTAGTACTAAATTTGGAGAGGAAAAAAAAATCTTTTAATCTTGTTTATTGGAAGTTAGAACAATTTGGAGAAGATTTGCAGAAGCACAGGTACAAGAGTTCTGTGTTTAAAGCACAGTGTTTGACGCGTGTGTGCCAGGCTAAGAGGCCAGTGGATCAGACAGTGAAATCAAAAGGGATTATTTTTTACTTTCATTGCTTTCAGTTGTATAATTGTCACAGAATACTGAAAAGTTAGAGGCCCAACTCTTAGATTTTTTTTTTTTTCTGAGTGGTATTTGTCGGTTTATTGAACACAGTCTTACTCAATTGCAGGATGAAGAAATTAATCAGCAGAGCCAACTAGTAGAAAAACTGAAAACACAAATGTTGGATCAGGAAGAGGTGAGTTTCCCTCTTTCATCTTCATTCTGTTGGTGTTTGTCTTTCTTTTAAAGAAATTTCAGATGTTCTGAATAGGTCACAGTTTGTTACCAGCGTAGAGTGATGGCTTACCTACTGTGCAGTAGTTCTCTTTTATTCCTTATCTAAATGCCCTGCCTATTCATTCCCCCCACTTACACTGTGCTAATGGCTAAACTTAAAGTAGTTTACTTGAACCTTAATTATCCATGAAGATTGAAGGAATTGAAATGTTTTATTCAAAGACATTGGCAGTTGTTTTCCCTGTGCAAAGTTAGCAGTTTGTCAAAACTGAAGATACCTTGATTTACTGTAAGAAATCTCTTTTAAGGCTTACTTTTGGTCATTTGCTGTACAGAGAAGGGGACAGGGAGGAATGTAATGGCCCATAATGAAAAAGGAAATATCAGTGTTACTTCAGACCATGCTTGACAGAATATTTAAACAATTTGTATGCATGTGTTGCCAGTGATGTGGTGAAAATACCTATTAATAATTAAATTGTTAATTTCATTTAGTCAAGATATTTGAGAAAATAATTCTGTATATCACGAAGATTAAAAAAATAATAACCTTTGTGTATATGGCAAGAAGGAAATGGGTCAAGGGCTCAGGAAGTCGGGAGCTATTGTTTAATCTTATTTAAATAAATAGATCTGCCTCCTTAGCAGCTGTTTACTTTGTCTAGTTATTCTTCAGTGTGTTAAAATGCTGAAAGCTTAGTCCCTAGCCCATTGACAATTTCAGACTTGTGAGTAGTGTTCAGTGGGTTTTTTGAGAACTTAAAATATTCCATGTGTATTTCCAGTTTTTGTACTTACATGTCTTGATTTATAATCACTTCCATTTTAAAAGTACTTTAAAAGCTAACGAACTATGGAAATAGATGATAAATTCAATTGTTCATTTTACTCTCACTGTACTTGTCCTCAGCATCTTTACTGCATGATCCTAGACATTGTAAAAATGTAGATATAAGCTATTGTAGTAGCTAAAAGCATTAATAAGATTAAACTAATATGTGGAATTTTCTTGATTATTTGTTGTAATTTTAAATAAATCTCTATCAATGTTGCAGCTTCTAGCATCAACCAGAAGGGACCAAGACAACCTGCAAGCAGAGCTGAATCGCCTTCAGGCTGAAAATGATGCCTCTAAAGAGGAAGTGAAAGAGGTGCTACAAGCCCTTGAAGAGTTAGCTGTCAATTATGATCAGAAGTCTCAGGAAGTAGAAGATAAGGCGAAGGAATATGAACTGCTTAGTGATGAACTCAATCAAAAATCGGTACGAAATTGGGATAAGAAATTACTGACAGTCTTCAATGTAACTTTTCTTGCCTTACCTATATTTCTTGCTTGAAGTCATTTAAAGGTTTTTCCACAAAGGAAAATGGGGGCTTAAGTCTAAAACTCTTACAGTTTTAGTAGAGGAGAGTTTTCTAAAACCAGTAAGCTTCAGAAAAATGCACAGTGAATATTGCCATTGATGGCTTTCATCTTTTTAGTACCTATGAAGAGTATTCAGAGAAATCCTACATGTCAGAAGTTAACATTTTCATTGCATACTGGTGTTCTAACTCAGTTCCATTTGTCTTTCTGGTGCAGTTGGGGTAATCCTCCTTTAAGAATCTGTTTCTTCTATTCTTCAAGTTGCAGTGAGAGTGCTACAGCTTTTCTTGAAAGATATGTGTATTTGCATGCTGTATTTATGGCATGTAAAATATAACTTGCCTTGATGCCTTCAAAAATAGGCAGTTTAGTTTGCTTTCTGAAAGGAGTACTCTTCAACACTGAAGATGTATTCAAAAAGGTCACCCTGGTTAAAATACAGACGCAGCATCAGTCCCACAGGATGAATACCATACACCTCCTCACATACCTGCATAGTTTCTGAATTGACTGACAGTTTTGTTAGCCAATTATTTGGCATATTCAGTCAGATTTAAACAGTGAATACTCTAGAGTATCCTAAAATTCTGAGTACTAGAAAGGATCAGCATGTTTGCTGGCATTGGAGACAGACTATGTGATGGTGGAAGTCTCGTTCTCTCTTCTTGAAGATGAAAATTGAGTGGGTCTGGGTCTTCTAGTGAATGTGGCTTTAATTTTTAAGATTTGACTAGTTAGAACACTGGCATTAAAAGTGATGTTCACAAGGTCATGAAACCTCTCTTTAAACTTCTAAGTATTCTGAGCTGAGTCATCTTCATTGGTAACTTACATCACTTTAAAGTCATCTGAAAGCCAGATGATCTCTGGTCATCTTATTATGAGCAGCGTGGAAAATTTGGTGGAATAGGGTAGATGTATGTGTATATGTTTCTGAAGTGTTTTTTCTTTTTCAGGGGTTTTTTTTTTGTTTGCTTTGTTGCTGTTTTTAATTTATAGATGGTCAAGTGATTCTAGATATTATAACTAATGTCCTTTGAGTGTCGTGTATTCATGTACTCAATCCACAAGAAAGCAACAACTGTTCTGAGAGGTAGTAAAACTAAGACATTTCAGTCCTCTCAGTCTGTCACAGCTAACCCATGCAGTAGCCATCCTTTGGCATCACTGACTGAAACTTTCCTCCTGTAAAACTTCTGTCATTCTTTTAAAACTGGGGAAAAAAGAGCAGATGACTTGAGTATGCAAGCTGCTGACCTGCAGCCATTGCAACCACAGCAGCTCAAACTAGCTGATAAAGTGCTCTAGAGTAAGTGTAGTGCTTATGAACACTTGGAACTGGGTGGCATTTATTGCTTTGCAAGTAGGGAAGAGTTAAGAGCTCTGCAGGTAAAGATTAAATTATTTTCCTTTACTAAAAGCTGGTGAAAAGTGTTCAGCTTGCTGTCCATGTACCTTTTTCCTGTAAATGCAATCCTCTGCAATATCTAACCATATATACCTCTGAGAGCTGTTTAACAATGTTGACATGAATTTTGTTGCAGAGATGTAAGACTATATTTCGTGAACTGAAGGCCTCTGTCCCAAGTATTTTACACTTCTTTCAGAAGAAATACTATCACTCCAGAACTTCCAAATTTTTACTATATGGTGTATACACATAGGTTAATACCAATCTGATTTTAGGCATAAAAATGGGACAGTTCAGTAGGCAACCACACGTTGGTGTATTTAAGTCAATTATATGAAACTAGTTCTAAAAACAGGAGTGTGTTTTGTTTATTAAAGTGTAACTTCTTTTACTTAGGTCACTCTAGCCAGTATAGATGCAGAGCTTCAGAAACTTAAAGAAATGACCAACCATCAGAAAAAACGAGCGACAGAAATGATGGCCTCCTTACTAAAAGATCTTGCAGAGATAGGAATCGCGGTAGGAAATAATGATGTCAAGGTAAGAATTAGTCAGTGCAATTTTTAATGCCTTGTATTACGCACGTACGTTGTGGATAGGTGGGGTCAGTTTTCTTCGTATGGTAAAAATAACCACCATAGGAAGCCTCACTTGTATTAATAATTCAGGCATAAGCTTGTCCCTTGCTTATGTTGTGACTTACCAGGTCCCAAACAGAATTTGATTATGCAAAGACTAGGAAGAGCAGGTATGATTTTTTTTTTTTTTTCCCCTGAAGTAGTATTTTCATTCATACTGTTAAACTGCTGTATGAAATGGCCATAATCAACAGCATTGTCTTGGAAATCTAATGCTGATGTGCAGTGTCAGTGGATGTTACTTATATTGAAAATGGAATGAGGAACTGAAATTAAAGATAAATCTAGAAGATCCCTGTAGGACAAGAATGTAAGCAGTGTTAGAAATCTATAGTGAACTGTATTTCCCTCTTCAAGCGACTCATTACCTTTGTGCAAACTTGTAAATAATGTCAGAAAAATCTGAAGTTATGTTTTGGTGTGTAAATGCTCTGATTATCAGTCAAGGCGGGGGTGCATGCTGGGCACTAAGTTGCTCCAGCTCATCTTTAATTCTGGTGTGTTATCTGAGCTTTCTAAATGTGTCATTCCACACTTTTCAGCAGCCTGAGGGAACTGGCATGATAGATGAAGAATTCACAGTTGCAAGACTGTACATTAGTAAAATGAAATCAGAAGTAAAAACAATGGTTAAACGTTGCAAACAGTTAGAAGGCACACAAGCAGAAAGCAATAAGAAAATGGAAGAAAATGAAAAGGAGTTGGCTGCCTGCCAGCTCCGCATCTCACAGGTAAATGTTTCTTTACACTGTACTTCCTAAATATTCTTTTGAGTTCATTAACCTGCTGGGGAAAAAAAAACAGTTGCCATTTTTTCTTGACACCTGACAAAGCACATTGTGCCTCAAGACTCAGCTGTATCCTCAATACTCTCTTCAGTTTGCATGTTTTTGAGTAATTGTGTGACAGGATGTCAGAATTTCTGCAATATGCCTCTAGTCTGCTAATGCTTTTGTAGCATTTGTATTAAATACTAGGGATCATGTGTTCTCCATCGCAGGATCCTTTACAAATACAAGTCTTACAGAAGCACTGGCTGGTGACCACTGTGCCTACTAATGCAGAAAAGTTGGAAGTGGCAGAGGTAGCAATAGCACAGTAAGATTGCAGTTGGCTTGCATAGCAGATTAAATTTACTTCTAATGTGAGAAAAGCCATTTCAATGCGACTGTTAGAAGTCACGTTACTGATCTTTTCTAAAACTCTGAAAATTGTGATTTACATATGCAATTTAATTTTCCTATTTTTTTTTTACATACAGATGGTCATCTTTTTTTAAATCAGGAGATGCATATTTCAGTGCAGTCTTCTAAATACAATGGACCTCTCTTGCGGCTTGCTAGTATTTAACATGCAAAAGATATTTTTTTCCAGACAAAAATTAATTTCTCTCCAATCCAGAATAAAGACTTTGTCTTACAGGCTACATTACAGATTTACTTGAGTAGTCATATTCTTCTTAAAGTTTAGTTGGCAACATTTTTGTTTTGAGATTGAAGTACTTTTTAAAAATAAGTATAAACTGTTTATGCAGATGTAATTCCATGATACCTAGTTTCAAAATAAATGAATCTTTCTATTCTGCAAGCATGAAGCCAAGATCAAGTCATTGACTGAATATCTTCAGAATGTGGAACAGAAGAAAAGACAACTGGAAGAGTCTGTGGACTCCCTTAATGAAGAATTAGTTCAACTTCGAGCACAGGGTAGGAATTGCCTCCCTACAGCCCACCCACCACCACCACCATTTTAAGTGTATAGTGATAAATAGGAAACGGTTCTGTTCTATTTACATTGAAGGGCAAAGCTCTAGAATGGCTTTTTGCTACTGAACATGTAGAATTAGTCAATGGGAAAGCATGTTTGCTGTTTGAAAGAACTGCTATGGATAGGATTAAAGATGTTGCTGATGTAATTGATCTTTGTGGTAGGAGGGGACTTTTTCCAATTTTTAAAGTGTTAGGGAGGGAAGGGGGAATTAACACCATCTTCTCTGTGATTGCCTAGTTACCTGGCTGAAATGTGTTTTCTTTTCTCTTTATCCCTACTAGAAAAAGTCCATGAGATGGAGAAAGAGCACTTAAATAAGGTTCAAACTGCAAATGAAGTCAAGGTAAGTTAATTTAATTGGTGGGGGTTTTTTTGCACTTTTTTTTGTTTGCTTGTTTGTTTTTGGTTTGTGTGTGGGTTTTTTTTTTTTTTTTTTACAAACAAAGTGAAGTATGGCAACTTCTTAAAGCATATAATACATTCTGTTTTTCCTAATAGCAAGCTGTGGAACAGCAAATTCAGAGCCATCGTGAGACGCATCAGAAACAAATCAGTAGCCTAAGAGATGAAGTTGATGCAAAGGAGAAACTTATCACTGAACTTCAAGAGTAAGTAATTGTCATTATTTTAGTAGTGCTAAATGTCTCTGGACTGTGTGAGCACAGAAGCACAGTATGCTGGGAAGGAAGTGGCAAGGGTTTTGTCAAGCAGGGTCTTTCTAACTTGTGTTGCTTTACTGAATATCATGTCCGACAGGTTCAGTTGATATAATATTTACTTTCTGTGTTCAGCCAAAACCAGAAGATGATGCTTGAGCAGGAACGTCTTAGAGTTGAGCATGAGAAGCTGAAAGCGACTGATCAGGAAAAAAGTAGAAAACTGCATGAACTTACGTAAGTGATAATCATGCATAAAACAAATGTGTGTGGGAACACTTACATTTTAAAAACTAATGATCTAACATGATGAAATTGCTCTCACTGTATTATATGCTTATTAAAGAGGTTCCAAAGCCTTCTTGAACTTAACTTTTTAAAAACCTTTGCACTGCCTTAATATTTAAAGTTGGAAGTAAAATAATGAAAGATAGGAAGGCCACAACTTTTTTCTTTGTTAACATGCTGTGGGTTGGAGTAATTAACTTTTCAGTTTGCAACTAAGTATTGCATGCTCCAAGACTGGAAGAAGCTTGTAACAGTTCTCTTACTCTTTTTTGGTTCTTGGGTGATTTAACTAATTAGGTGGTTCTAACTGGTTTATTGTTGAGATTAAACAGCTGCATACTTCACTGAGTAACTAAATACAGTATATTAGTGAATTAGAGACTGAAAAATGAATGCAAAAATTAGAACTGAATTCTATTGCAGGTAAGTCTCCAAGGTTCAAGCTGAAAAACAGTTCTAAACTTCTACAAATCTGACCATAATCTATAGTATCAGTAGCGACCCCTTTCTGGCATACATGAATTTATCTTTACAGAAGTTAAATCTGCATTTTACTTAAAAATTTTTCAGAAGTGCATGCTTTTTGGCGATGTTTAAAAACACAGTGGCTTTCAGGATTTTATCCTAGAATTTGAAATAACAGAGGGACCTGATTGGTCTGTACTGGTAACAAATAAACAACACTTTTCTTTTTTCTTGTTCTTTTTTTTCTTTTAGACTGTGAAATGCAATGTTGATTTAACTGACTCAAATTTCAGCTATACTCTGGTCTTGTGAATCCATCTTATTCTGATTTACTTGTATGCCCCAATGATTACAAAAGTTACATTAGTTATACTAGGTTTTCTTCTCGTAATAATTGATAATACTTTCTTTTTTTTTTTTTACTTAGAGTAGTAAGATGCCTGCAACTGCTTTTCCAGTAAGGTCTGAAAAATGGTTAGGATGCTGAGTTATTCCTTAGAATATTTTATTACCTCAAATGTTTAATCATTTATCTGTGAACTAGTAGTAGAACTGGCTGAGTGAGGAGAAATTTCAGGAGGAAAATAAGCTTTTTGTCTACTTAATAGGAACACTTCATTTTCATGCAGTCCCTGGCCTTTGTCTCCCAAACTCGAGTCATAAAAAGAAAAGTCCAAATTCCTTTCTTGTGTCCTGTCATTTTAGTACTTGCACTGCCTTATAATTCTGAGATAGAAAATTAGCAGTGTAGTAAATGCTTTCACATTAAAAAGAAGCTCTGTAAAGTGCTACTCATTAGGTTATATTCCTGTAAACTGAGATTGTTGTTTATGATGCTAGCTTTAGCAAGTGTGTTGGGGGTGAGGTGGTAGAACAGAACAAAATAAAAATCCTTAATCTCTCATGTGATATTTTATCATCTCAGCTGGTCAGAGCTAAGAACATTTGTAGGATAAGATATCCCCAGTATTCATCCTGAAACTGACTCTGAGAGTCTTTCTTTACCTATTCTAGAAATTTTTAATTTATGCATCTGAATGTTCTTGTTTGTATTCCTTCAATATTAAAAGTACTTCCCTCTTTTCCTCCTGCAACTCCACCCCATATGTATTTCTGAGTGCAGTGTCATCTATTGGTTGCATCCTTAATTGAGGACTTCAATTGAAAGACATTTTTTGTTTGTGCCATATAGTGTTTATCACTCTAGTCTCCTTAAACATTAAAATTTCCCATTTTCCCTGGATGTTTCAGAATGAATTTATTCTCTTTTAGGGTTATGCAGGACAGACGGGAACAAGCAAGGCAAGATTTAAAGGGTTTGGAAGAGACTGTGGTAAGATAGAGTATATTCCAAAGCAAATATCAATACTTTTTTTTTTCTTCAGAGTTATTTTTTTATTATTTTTTTCTTAATTTTTTAAAATTTCTTGTCCTTAACTGTAGGCAAAAGAGCTTCAGACTCTTCACAATCTTCGGAAGCTATTTGTTCAAGATCTGGCTACTAGAGTGAAAAAGGTAATATGGTGCTGTAGTGAAACCGGTGTTTCTGAGAATGCTACATAAATTTGAGTTTAGAATTAAATTATGAATTTATCTTTACGGTGTAATTTTTCTGGCTTGATGTTAATATGTGAGTTCAGATTTGTACTCAGGCTCCTCTCTCCTTCCTTATGCTTTTGTTGCTGCAGAGTGCTGAGATTGACTCGGATGATACAGGAGGCAGTGCCGCACAAAAACAGAAGATTTCCTTCCTTGAGAATAATCTTGAACAGCTTACAAAGGTCCACAAGCAGGTACAATGAGGCTTAATTTCAAGTTTTGATTAAAACTAAACAAACTACTTAAGGTGCATCATTATAGAAGTGACTGAACATTGGTCATAAAGTAACTTTTATAATTAAATACTTCTGCATCTTGAGTGTGTCTCTTGATATAAAACAATAGACTAAAGTTTTCCTGTAAAGTAAATTAATAGCTATTTTGTAAGTGCATTTGGACATGTAACAAAATGGCTGCATTTAAACTGAAGAAGATCTAAGATAGAGTTAGTAGATCAATCTAGGGGATGCTTGCCTGTCTCTGACTGAAGAAGAATGTAGATGTTAAGTGCATATGTTGGGTAGCATGTTCTTCCACAGCAACTGATTTTCAAATGACAATCTTGCTGTTGAACTATTAGATTTACTAAAAGCTTAAGCAAAGATAATACAGTAGCCCTACTGCTTTGCCTGTTTAGGGGTAGGGGGCTGTTTGGATGGCTCTCCCTATGAAGAGGGATACCAAGAAAATAATCTATTCCTTCTCTGTAGCTGGTACGTGATAATGCAGATCTTCGCTGTGAACTTCCTAAACTGGAAAAGCGACTTAGAGCTACAGCTGAAAGAGTTAAAGCTTTGGAGTCTGCACTGAAGGAAGCCAAAGAGAATGCTTCTCGTGATCGCAAACGGTATCAGCAAGAAGTAGATCGTATAAAGGAAGCTGTGAGATCCAAGAATATGGCCAGAAGAGGACATTCTGCACAAATTGGTTAGTAGAGAATTCCTTGCCCTGTAAAGCTTCATTGGTCTCCTGATTTTTTTTGGTCTTTGTGCATGTATGCATCTTTCAACCCTAGTTGGAACTGCATATGTGACCATGGTGTATTTTCTACGGTGTGTTGTTTTTTGGTTAACAGACTGTAAGTGTGGGTAGGTGGTGGTGTATGGTTCGTTGGTTTATTTATTTTAAGTGGGTCTCCTGCTGGTAGCTGGATTTCTATATGTGCTGGGAAAGGCTTACCAGCCTAGAATTCTAGCCTGAATGTGTGTTCCATTTCCTAGAACAAAACAACACAGTAAATGTGAGTCTTAGGTGTTTAACATGATTCCATAAGAATTGTAACACTAAGTAGGTATTCTAAAGTAAGGAGAGGGATTAAGCCATCACCTTCAACAACAACAACAAAATTGTCTTCCTGTGTCTTGATCTTGTAAGAGAGGGGCAGACAGAAACCCACAACTAACATACTAAGATCCCTAATTACCTTTTTGGTTCCTTGTTCCAAAACATAGTGCGCCATAGCTCTGTCTTGGGGAAAGGAATGGAAAAACCAGAAATCTGCAGTAGCTAGTAGTGTTTCTTCCTGTGTGGTGGAAAGTCAGTCATATTCCTTTGGTCCTCCACCTGCCATTATGCTGTAAAGTGCAGAGGGCCAAGAGGGTGTGTGACCTGTGGGTGGCTTAACTGTGCCTATTAAATTATGCTTGTAGAAGTAACTGTGTTCCAGCCTTTTTGTTGTCCTGTGTCAGGACTTCAGTAATCAATACACTTCTCTTTAAATGCTAATGCAACAGAAATGAGCATTGCAGTTAAACTTTGCTAATATTCTGTAGGTCTACAGAGAGATGTTGCAGAATAAATTCACATTTTTTTTTTCTTGATTACTTCAAGTGGTGGCTTGAAGACAGGTGCTATCCTGTTTTATCTTTCTCTGAAGTGATCTCCAAGAAGACAAACAGAATTCTCTCGAGCTTACCACAAGTATAAAGCCTTGTGTACTTAAATGTCTAGTTGAACTAAGCTAGGCATGTCATACTGGAGATCAGCTTTCTATAAGGCAGAAATTGAGAAGTGTTTTTCTGATGCAGTTGTTACCTGTTGGTACTTTATATCCACTCTTACCTGCTGCAACTTTAAATGCTTCTGTTTAATGTTACAGAACTTTGTAAAGTCATACTGTTGTGCGTGTCCTTTTAAGAGCTAGTGCAAACTGATTGAAAACATGGTTCGCTTATCAAAGCGTATTCAGCTTGTGAATTACCTGTCAAAACTACTGTTCTTGAATTTGGTAACAGAGCAAGTTTTATTTTGGTGGTAAGAAGTTGATGAAGCAGTGTTATCTGTGGAGTAATCAATATGTAGACCTGCTTGCAGAGCAGAGTAACTAGTGGCTTATCAATCAAGTAGATGTGGGAAACAGAGCAGGGTATAATGATTCCTTATAGGAACATAACCCTCATGAAACTTTGTCTAGCAATGTGTCTTGAGGTCTTATTGCAAGAAATAAGAAATAATAATGTTCCTGCTCTGGCAGGGGGATTGGACTAGATGATCTTTCAAGGTCCCTTCCAATCTCTAGCATTCAGTGATTCTGTGAAATAGGATGCTTACAGGGAAATACATTAGGTAGGGTAGATAACACATGCGAAGATAATAATTGCAAAAAGCTTTGCTAGCTTTAATTCTAATAGTGACAATAAAAACAAAACTTTGTCTATTTTCCAGGGCTTTTTATAGTTGATAATAATCTGTTGGTTCTCAGAATATCTTCTCCTAAACTTGTTTCTTTATTCAAAGTACATTGAATTTTGATTATTACATTTGGGATCCTGTAAAATAAAGCATTAGTAAATTTGAATAATCAAAGGTAAAAATGTGATGTATATATTCATAAGTCATGTTTTCTTTTAATGCAGCTAAGCCTATCCGTCCTGGCCAGCATCCAGCAGCTTCTCCAACTCATCCAAGTGCAATTCGTGGTGGAGGTGCGTTCACTCAAAACAGCCAGCCAGTTGCACTGCGTGGAGGTGGAGGACGGCAAGACAAAGTGTAAGTTTCTCTTGTAGGATTTTCAAACGTGTGATTAAACAACTTTGTATTAGTTTTGTTACAGTTCATTCTGTGGCATAAAATCACTTGAATAATCAGATTAACTTCTTTTTGTACAGAATTCTATAGTTAGAGGAACAGTGTACAGGTATATCTGACTAATGCTGTGCTGCTTTTGTTACAAAACTGGCGTTTGTTGTCAAATGGTAGTTCTGGAGTTGTTCTGCTGCTGTAGAACAAAATGTGAAAACAGTCCATTTGAGATAGTTACCAGTCACAGCCAGTAGATACTGTTTGGGAAAGGAGTGGACAGTTTTAAATGGTTTTGGCTTGCTAGTATCTTTTAAAATATATCCTTATATGTTTATTTGCTGCTCTTACTATGTTTGCACACTGCTTCATGTGTCAGTAATTTGGAAGTATTTAATAGAAAAAAATCATGTCTTCATCTGGTAAATTTAAAATGCTAGCCTAGTTAAAATACAGTTACAGTAATTGAAATCAATATGTGCACCTATTTGAAAATACCTCTAATCTCCGTAGTAATCACACATCATCTGGTACTTAATATGCTTAAGTTGCTCACAGAATCGTGTCTCTTGTTAATTAACGTCTGCATTATAGTTGGTCTGTTGGTCACCCAACAGTAATGCTTTGTTGCATTCTGTCATCATCTTCACTTTCAAGTGTTCATATAAATGTCTCCTAGGCATTGCCTTAGTTAAGTTTATCTGCATCTTCAGTTTGCAAATACTCCTAAAATGATTGTGTGGTGCTTGAATCCTGGGTGCTTCTCTTCTGAAGGGCTCCAGAGCAGTTTACATTAATCTTGTTTCCATTTGTTTCTTTTTATTACCTAACTAAATTTTCAAAGCTTTCTCTCCAATTTAGAGAAAATGAGACTGTAGTATTAGTTAGGGTACTTGGTTCTGTTCAGTAGTGCCTCTTAGTAAATAAGACGTTGAAGTGGTATGTACTTTAACCTTTAATAGCACTTATCTTGAATGACCAAGGAACCGTCAATTCATGAATTCTTGATTATGTTGATATGGTGAAATTAATCTTCAGATAGCTACCTTGACTGCAAAGGCAATCTAGCTCAGCTGTCCTATGCAGAGACATTCCAAGGCACGATTGACCCAATTCATTTTAGATGCCTACTTTAGCATGAGTTTGCATATGCTTTGATGTTGCCTGGAACTCTGACTGAAGAGAGCTTATTTAGTCTCATACTGCTTTAAGAGTACTTGTAATAGTTGATATAATCAGCAATAAATATCTAAATTTTGAACTTGCATCTTTTTTGGAGAAGAGCTTTCACTGTTGGTCCCGGGCAATCAAATAGGAGACTTAGCACTTTGACTTCTGGATTATTTCTAGATAAATCCTGAGGGAGCTGAAAACTGCTAACTATTGGCTCAAACCCCTTTGTAACAAACTAACTAAAAAAAACTCACATAACATGCTTATGGAATCCCTTAAGCAGTTGTAAAGACTTCATATAATTCTTCTGATGTTAGCTCGTTACCTATTGCTGTTAGAACCAAGTAGAGTTTAGCACTTAAAGGCAGGAGAGTGGTCATAATTTATCCCAACTTTCCTATCTTGTTTTTGGAAGAACCTGTCCCTTATGGAAGTAAAGGTACAAAGCTTTCTTGAACTTTTACTTTACTATTAAATATAATTTTTTTCTGAGCTTCAGATTCAGGGAACCTGTGTCATTTTTCTCTGTAGTAATGTCCGTTATACTTTTTTTGAGGATTAATACAGATACTAATCATTTGAACTTCAGGTTAAAGAAGAACTTTTGGTGCAGTAGGAACACGATATACTGTTTCATATTTAGAGGCCCCCATTTATCAAATTATTCTGGAAACATTAAAGAAATACAGAGATGGTAAATTGTTTTTTCCTTATGCAAATCAAATTTTTTCAGGGTTATTAATACCAAATGATCTCTCCATTCCCATTTCATCTTCCCGAAATAGCAAAGTCAAAACTTTGCAGCAACTGGTAAGTGGTATCCAGACAGTTGTCACTGGCCTGGAAAAGTAGCAACAGTCATGGGAAATGGAGATGGGTTATAATTGGTTTGTTTGTAATGTTTACTCCATTGAGGCCATCAAGATTGGATACCTGTTTGCCGTGCTGTAAACTTGTTGGTAACAGACAGCATTGCTTAAATGCTTTGCATTGCGTGATTTCTTATTCTAAAGCAGGTGTTTTATTAGTACTTATTTGAGTGGTCCAAGAATTGGGCTCTTAAAGGCTATGTAAATGGTGAATATGGTCTACTGCAAATGCAAATAATGCAGCTTTTTTGGCTTATAAGATACAAGCACTGAACTGTTGTTTTTCTCATTTACAGTTGCTGAAAAGTAAACGCAGTGTGACGAGGATTGGATACCGTGTAGAGGGAGTCATTCCATGACAATAATCTCTCCCTTTGGGGACTGTAGGATTATTTTTTGAAAATGTATAAATTATACCTGGCCTGTACAGCTCTTCCCCCTTCTACAAATTCTGCTAACTGATTCCCAAAAAAACCTAGAGTGCAATTTTGGCGTCTTGAAAAACGACATGTTACTTAAAGTGTTGCTCTGCTCATTACACAGTTTGTCTTTCATGTCTTAAATTTAGTCTGCACTGTGCCAAGCTGAATGTATGTTGAGAAAATCTTAGTTGAAATTTTCTAGCTTAATTTGTGTACATCTTATTGTCTTAGGGAATGTGCAACAGTGTTTAAGTATACTTTAATTTTTATCACTTCACATAACACTACATGTCCCACTGAATTAGAGCGCACTCTACATTAGTTTTCTTTTGGAATGCTACGTGGAACTATATTTGTACAGTGTAAGAATACTGAAGTGTGCTTACGACAACTGCCATAAGGCACTGCGATTGCTACACCACAGAACTAAAGAGTTCAATATGAACTAGGCTGTTTAACTGTTACCTGATTAAATGCCCATTTATTGGGTAATTTAGAATTAAATATTGTACAGTAATAAGAGTAAACTGAAGTTTACAAAAAAGACTTTGGCAGTGGATTATCCATCTGTCCTGTTCCTGGTTCTACACACAGTACAGTCTGGTGGAGTGAAAACGTTCTGCTTCATTCTGATGAGCCTGTCTATCCATTTGTCTGTATCTGTGATGGTTCACTTTTGCTTTTTTATAATAGTGAAATGAGCGCAATCTAAAGTATATCTTGATATCCCACTACATACACAATACTGGAATTTTTGGCTAAAATTTTAACTTTCAATTATTTTTTTTTTCCTGCAACTGGCCAATGAATTCAGATACACTAATAAAGGATTTTTTTTAAAACTGATGTATCTGGAAGTCCCAGAGATGTGTTTAAAAAAATAATAAAGTGCTACCCTGAATTGTATTTGTAATCCATTTGTAAGTAGGCATATGAAATGTCCAAAGTAGTAGTTGTCAAAGATTTTTCATCTCTTTGCAATAAAGTCCTGTAAAGTGGCTAACAAAGTGAAACGGTTTTTTTGTTTGTTTTTGAGCTCCAGTATTCCCACTGAGCTGAACCTGGGTTTTAAAATTTTCTAGTATAATTTGCCTAACTTATTGATAGGGTTTAGCCACTATAATTTTTAGAACAGCCTTCTGGATAGAAACTAGTTAGCAGGTCTTTGAGAAAGAAGGAACTTAATATTACTGAAAGAATCCTGTTAGCTTTGCAGACCCAGCTGGTACCACTTTGTGTGCTGGTTTGAATTTTTTGCTGGGTATTCATCAGTTATTGCCGAAACAGTAGAGACTCATGACTGTTCAGACAGCAAATCACCTTCAACTTTTATAATGTAAAAGAGACAAAATATTTATATTATGATGGAGTGTAGTCATATTTTAGACCTTGAACCACTTTTTTTCTGTATCTACAGTAGTCTGAATTTTTAATAGTTTGATATTTAAAAGTTGAGTGTATCAGTCAGAAATCTCACTATTTTGGAGTTTTCCGCTTTTAAGACTGTTTTGTTCATTAAGGCTGTCAAACACTCCAAACTTGCAGTTGTTTTAGAACACAAAGACAGCACACTGAGGAAAGAAAAATAAAGGAAGAGAAAACTGTTTTGAATGAAATTCTGTAATGGAAACACCACTGTCTGTTTTCTTTCTCCATGTTAACTACAGGTTTTCAGACCTTCATTTGTTAATATGCAATCATAAAAACAAAAAAACCCACTTTCTTTAAAATACATTCAAATGAAGCAGGATTTTTTTTCTCATGCCTGTGAATGGGGGTGTCATTCCTGTAGGTAATTACAATGGGTTTTGGTGCTGAGAATTGCTGTGTTTAAAAAAACTAATTAAATGGTAACTAGCCCGTAGCTCAGTGTAAATCACCTTTTTATATTTAAACTTTTTTTAATTTTAAACCTTTTATGAAGTTTACCAAGAACTGCCTCTTAAAATGTAAAAAAGAAAAAAAACCACCTTTTTTTTTGTTTGTTTTCTGGTTTGGCTGTCATAGGTCAGCCAGACAGGACAATTAACTGGTTTTTGTAAATTATTCAGTGTATACAGGGAATGTTCAACACTGCTGTTTCAACTTGCAGTCTTTGGTTCTTTTTTTTAATGTTCCTCTAGATCATATTTTTTAAAAGATGGTTTAGGATAGGAACTTGGTGAAATAATATTTATTTCTGGTGAACAACTAAATTATTTGCATAACTTAAATGCTGACTCACTACTGTGTGTAACTCTAAATTTGACATGAGAGGACAAGTCTACCTGTGGAATATGATTTAATTTCAGTACACTTGAGATGCATTAAAACAATTGGTTTGGGGAAGACGCCATATAGTTTTAACTTACCTGCATGCTGTAAATGTATTTGTGTTTAAATAAAGAGAAGAAAAATCTTTGAACTTTGTGCATTTATTCAGTCTCTACCCTTGCTTGTTAAATTCTTTAACATTTTTCACTTGATAGGTTTCATGACCAGTTGTCTCAAGGTAAATCATGATCACTTGAGGTCTCTAACCTCCTGTTCCAGTGTTTGCTAATACAAGTAAGCTTTCCCACACAAAAATATGAATATTTGTCTTAGTCTTCAAAAAACTGTTCATGATAGAAAAACACACAAACAAAAAAGTTCTAACAAAACCTCCCCCCAGCAGTTGATGGCTGTGGAAATGTTCAGAAATTGATTACAGCCACAGTCTATCAGAATTTGAACCCCTTCAGTCTGGGATTACTTTGACCTCTCCCAAGGTCTTACATGCTATGTAGTTCATAAATATATCATCTTAATACCCGTTTTTAATGGCTTATCTTGGTTGTGTATGTTTTGATTTATTTAAAAAAAAATCCATCACCTTCTACCCTATCTATCTTGGATACAGTAAGTGACACACTTGAAAGAATTCTCTCTTGGCATAGGGCGTAGGTGAGGGCATTCTTACACTCAAAAGAGAGAGTTCCTCTTTTGCTCTAAAGCAACTGTTTTTGTTTCCAGTGCACTGATCCCTTAGTATGAGCTTTCCAAAAACAGACCTGGAAAACAAACCACCCAACCTTCAACAATACACCCAACCTCCTGTCCTTAAGCTACATCTACATGTCATTATTTCTTAGCTGTAATCAGAAGTTAGATATCTAAGACTTACTATATCCTATCCATTGAGGAATTTATTTTTTTCTGAATGGTTGCATTCTAGGGTAAGCTGAAGTCAGGTTAGAGACAACAATACTTTCTTCTTTCCAGAAGCAGAAAGAAATTTAAGAAATGGAGATTGACTGCCAGTAGGCCTGAATTAAGGCAAGGAACCATAGATGCACTTACATTCCACACTTGTTCTTTAAAATGAAACAGCATAGAAGCTGATCAAGGGTTTGGGCACATGATGCACATTTGATTTAGTTCCTGAGCACCTTAAAGTCTGTTTTTAAAGACTTCTAGAGATTGCAATGAATTTTATCTGTTTTGGGATGCACGAAGAATGGGTGCCTGCTTACAGCAGTTCAGCTTGCAGATTACAAATTCTGAAAACTGCCAGTTCATGTGTAGCACCTGCTGCCTACTGTATTTTCATCTTGAGCTGTAGCTGCTTATGGTTTATATATTCCCTGTTAGCCAGTGAAGGAGGGAAGTGAAATGGAGATCTTCTGCCAGTCTGACAGAATGAATGGTTCAGTTCAGACCAGGAGCTCATCTAGCTAAATTTGTGTCTAGTGGTGCCAGATCTGTGGGTTGCCCAGAAAATCAGTCAAATGTGATGATTCCTCTCAATACTCCTCTCTGCAAGTGCCAGCTCAGGGGCTTTCCTGAGTCTGCTGTGCGTTGTCTGTATGGTGGTGGTCAAAGTTCTCCTTTTAGCCACATGCTTGGACAGTCTTCTTTCAAATCCATGTAAACTTGTCTTGGTTTCTGTTGGAAAAGGATTCCTGTGAGTTACCCCTTACTTCATGAGCCTCTCTCATTTTTTGAACTTGGCTTCTGCTGATTTGGTGACCCCTCATTCTTGTTTCAGAGAGAGTAATCCCTTTCCAACATTTCTGTGCCACCTGGACTTTTATAGACCTCTCTCTCTCTTTCTCAAGACTCATTTTACATTACCAGTAATCTGTAATACTTGATTTCTGGTTTCCTGAGTGCTGTTGAATTGATATTTTTTATGGAGCAATCTACTTACATGAGGCTGCAATCATCTTCTGGATAATTTTATCAGAAAAAGATTTAGGTAAATTTATTGAGCTTTGATATATGAATATATATATAAAAGCAGAAAGGAGGTCTAGATTTAAGTCTGCTAGTAGTGATGTGAAAGTAAAGATCTCAGGAGGAAGAAATTGCATCTATAAAACTGCTCAATAATGAGCTAATCTGTTACTATAAAATATTTCATAGTGTATCCTATTGACAGCTCAGTCACACCGCTGAAGTGCTGGATTGGAATAGACCTGTGTCTCTACTAGGGAATGAGCAACTCAAACCCTTTTAATTGCAGACAAGGACCAAAGGATGCTCAAAAAGGCAGTTAAATCTCATTTCACTCTGAAGTTTCTTGTGAGAACTGGCATGACTGAAATTACTTCTGAAATTATGAAAAAAGTATTATTACATCTCCGACAAGATAAAACTGCAGTTACCTGCATGATAACCCACAAACTGCTAAGGAATTAATTGACAGAACAAGTTTGTTCTGTTGACCAACTTGGGATGGCTTCCCTCTTGAACGGACCAAGAAGTTGCAACACCAATTTTAGAAGTGTCAAAACGCATCACTATATTTAATACGTGCTATGTGCAAAACTGTCTCTAGTCACTTAAGTACAGAACATAACCTCGCTAAATGACACAGAAGACACATCTGGAGGATGATTACTGAAGACTGATGGGTGTGTCAGTACTTTTTGCCTGTGGAGTTTTGAACTGACGAATCTTTCTTAACTCCCTGCAGGACTGTTCATTGTTTCATCTTTAACCAGTGCTTGCTGGAGGGAATGACGAGTGGGACCAGGGAGGGAGAGTAATTTGTTCTGCTAACTCCTTTTAGTGTTTCATTATGAAAGCTGAAGTTGCAGGGGATATCAGTCAGCTAGGCTATCCAGTGTAATGGGGAGAGGAAGAGTTACCCGAAGAAGAAAAATATAATGCAAAAGAAGAAGAAAAATACACAGAAATGAGACTATTGTAATAGACCATATTTAGCCTATTTAGCTTTGAAAAGGAAAATAAGAGGCTAGTG